CCTTTGCTATGACAATACCTGAGATGCAGGGGAAAGTTGTCTTGGCCCACACTCTAGATGCTTCAGCACATGGCCACTTGGCTTTATTGTTTCGGATGCTGTGGTGAGCAGTACATCACAGTGGAAACACATGGCAGGAACAAAGTTTCTCACTCAATGGTAGCTTGGAAGCAAAAAGAAAGATGAAGAGGCTGGAGTCCCAGTTTCCCGTTCAAGAGCATAACCCTCAGTGATCCGACTTCCTTCTGCTAGGTCCCACCGCCTAGTGGTCCCCTGTCTCTCAACAGATCTAGAGGCTAGTGACCAAGTCAACATCCAGCCTTTGGGAGACACTTGGCACATTAACCGTAACACATTCTCTGCTTAGGAATCAGCCTAATGGGAGGCAGACCTTGTCTGTGGATTTTAGTCATCCATCTCTATCACTTTCTCTTCAAGCTCCCACTCCGCCACAGCTTTTCATCTGCTGCTGTCTGCTGTCACCCCATAATTTTGTTGGGGGGGGGGTGACCAGGTTGAGCTTGTCTCACATGTTTGCATCCTCTCAGGAACCAGACCCTCTCAGATGCCACCTGAACTGACACATTGCCAATTCTTTCAAACATTTGCTTTATACTTTTTTTTTTCACCACTAGCTTTACCATTATTTGGCAGAGAAATTAATCTGACACAAGCCTTCCCCCATGCAAAGAACCAAAGGCCTTATGCTGATTCCATTTATTTAGTCCGGCTCAAGATTGCTCAAGCAGGTAGGAAACACTTTTCTTGGCAGACAAGTAAACTTGATCCTACAGCAGTCTAGAGAAAATAGAATTAAGTTACAGACAACAGAGCTATCCGAGATATTTAGCTGGTATCTGACTGGATTTGTTAAGAGTGACAATATGAAAGAATTTAGGAATTCAGGCTCTAATCAGAACACTGCTCAACTGAAGAAGGTATTCCCATTGCTTTAGAATTCTTTTCAAAGATCAGTAAACTGAGCCCATGAAGCCAGACAAATTAAAAAACAACCTAATGAGTGATGTGTGAGAAAGGCATTCTGAAAAGTTGGGCAGTTGCACTCTATAGGAACAAGGCCTATGAGAATATTTCTAAAGTATGAAACTGTTGATTAAAGAGCCATAAATGGGACCCATTTTTTTCTTGGGAACAGATGGATGTCACCTGTGCTTCACCTGTACCTCAAGAATGCTGAGGAGCAGTCACCAAGATTACACAAGATTATAGCAGGATCCTTAGATGGGGTGAGAAGAATCCCTTGAGTGTCTCCAGCTCTGTCCACACCTAAGTGAGTAAACTTGGTTACCTGGAAACACTGTGATCTTCTCTAGGGAATATATTCTTCAATCCTGGTTCATCAGTCAGGGTCTAATAAGAGGGCAAAAGCCACATCTGTTATTTTATTAATTTGTTTATTTATATGAGTGTGTGTGTGTGTGTGTGTGTGTGTGTGTGTGTGTGTGTGTGTGTGTGTGTGTGTATGTGTATGCCATGTAGGTGGATGCCCACAGAGGCCAGAAGAGGGTGTGAGATCCCCTGGAGCTTGAGTTACAGTTTGCTGTAAGCTGCCTAGCATGGGTTCTGGCAACCAAACACAGACCCTCGGGAAGAGACGGAGGCACGCTTCAACTTAACCGCTGAGCCATCTCTGTTATTTTAGCACAGGGTTTAATGAAAGATTTTGAGAAAACCAAACAGCCAAGAGGGAATGTGGTGGCCTCGCACAAGTGGCCACTCCAGGCATCAGCCCCCACCCTACAATGAGGCAAGCCCGAGTTGCTAACATAGCACAGGCTGGAGAGGGTCCCTGAGGGCTGGAATTCAGACTCTGAAGAGGAGACCAATAGCACAGACTAGTATTTGGGGGTCAGGAAGGGACTTGTATATAGCAGGTATTTTTGACACACATGATATTTAGCAGGATAAAGCCCACTAGTGGCAATTTTATAAGTCCACTTTAAAATATGTAATTGGGAATTGACTTAGACTCATGACTTTTTTTTTTTTAATGGTGGCATCTAAGTTAACACAGAGTAGAATAAACTCATTTAATAGACTTCCAGTTTTCCTCATAAGCTCAGGTTATCAGCTTCCATGGTATAGGATGCCTTTGCTTACTGCCAAAACCAGAGGTATTTAAAGGAGGTAGATTAAATCTGTACATTCACTTGAAAGTGTGTGAAGTGCTGGGCTGAGCTCGTAAACAGGACTAAGCATTATCCAAAGGCTGCTCAGAAATTTTTGCTAAAATCTGCTAGATTTATAAATGTAATAATCAGATCTGTCATACAAATGTAAAATCCTTAAAAGGGTGTTTAACTTGCTTATTGGCACTAATGGCAAATAACATGATTTGTTAAATTCATAATTATTATGTTTACTAAGTATTCAGGGTTTTTGCTTGTCTGTTTTTGTTTTTTAGTTTGTTGTTGTTTTTTCTGTTTTTCGTAACAGGATTTCTCTGTGTAGTTTTGGTGCCTGTCTTAGATCTTGCTCTGTAGACCAGGCTGGCCTCGAACTCATAGAGATCCGCCTGGCTCTGCCTCCCAAGTGCTGGGATTAAAGGCATGCGCCACCACTGCCCTGCTTTAAGTATTCAGTTTTAAAGCTACACTTAAACAAATAACATGGAAGAGGGGGGAAACCAGCCAAGTCTATTCTGTGTTCAACCCCCTGCCTAGGAACACTGGACTCTCATTGCCCAGCTCTTGTCCATGTCCTTTGGAAGCTGCCCATCCTCAGCTTCTGTGGCAACCATGAAACCATCACTCACCTCATCGCTCTGGGCTTGGCTGCTCTGCTCTTCCTTTTCTCTCAAGCCAGGATGCCTCCTGGAGCAAGATGCTACACTAGACTGGGGGTTTGGGTTCCAGCCACTCCAGTCTCCGAGGAAGCAGGCACCTCGGTCAGTTTTCCAGCACCGTATTCCTAGCACCAAGAAAAGTGCTTATGCAGTGGAAGCTTCCCCTAGGTATAATGGGTAACTTGCCATGAGAATGGATGTGCACAGTGGTATACCATGATGCCATGGATGTGCCAGTGACTGTAAGCCAACACATTGTGTTAATCTCATCGTTCTGTAACTTAGAAGTCTGACATGGTTCTCACTGGACTAGAACCAAGGTGTCAGGGCTGTGTTCCTTTCAGGGAGCTCCCAGGGATGTTTCCTTGCCTATGCAGCTTGCAGAGACTAGCCACATTCCTCTGCTTATGGGCCTCACATCACCACTGAGGTAGAATGTCCAATGACCATCTACCAGTACAACTACAGTATAATTAATCAGCTGAGACAGCACCTCTCCAAACACTTTTATTAATCCTTCTGAGGCCTCAAACTAATACTGCCCTTCTAAAAGTATTTATGCAGAGAATAAAACATTATAAATTTCTTCTGTCAAATAGAACCAAAAAGGAATATGCAAGGAGCCCATAATAAATATAATACAGTAAGCATTCCCTCTAGGTCAAACACTTGGGAAGGAAAATCTCTTGAAGGGCTTTTTTTAGTGTTTTCTACCTTCCACAGATGAGATGCTTCTCCAGAAAAACTTGCCTACCTAGTCCAGATGGCCCAAAAAAAAAAAAAAAAAACAAAACAAAACCAAGGGCTAAGGCCTGGCTCTGGAGAGGAGGTGACAGGACAATGGAGCAGGTCGAACATGGGCAGTGCGGGGAGTGTGGAGGGCAGAATGCACCGTGGCCAGCTTTACTGTGCTTGCAAATTCAGGCAATACACACTCGAAGCACTCTGCACCGCAGCACCCGTGGCATAAACAAAGCGACATTTATTGTATCTATTTTGAACACAGACAATAAAAAAGTTTAGTTTGTGATTCACTCAGAGCCCAGAGCTGGGTTACTCTGCCACTAAACAACCTAGGGAACCCCTTGGCATAGATGATAGCCAAGAATCTTCCTGGCATGGGGGTGGGGGGTGGGGACTGGTTAAAACTGCTACAGATGACACTCTTGCAATAGGTGTGATGGCCAAAGCCAACAAATGCCATAAAATATTGATGTGTACAGTCTGGGATATTTCTGTACTAACACCAGGTGTGTCTGTCCAAAGAGAAACTTGTAAACTGTTTAAAGTCAGCAGCAATGACATTCAACAGCCTGTACACTTTCTATACCAGAGTCCATGTATTATCCTGACAACTGCCGTCCATGACAGAGACATCCATGATACGGAAAAAGGCATATTTAAAACATGCACTGTTAATCTTATCAATGAAAAAAGCAAGCCCATAGATGACTAATTCCTTTGTCTGGATCAGTAAATAATCTCTAGTGTGTGCTTGGTGTACTAACAAGGACCTAGCCATCAGTTAAGTTAAATAAACTGCAATGTTCTGCCCACTAACACACATTAATTACCTTATGGAGATTATTTTAAAAATTCTTTTGTGTGTGTGTGTGTGTGTGTGTGTGTGTGTGTGCACATGCATATATATATGCACATCACATGAATGCAGGTGCCCTCAGAAGACAGAAGAGGGCATCAGATCCCCTGGAACTGTTAGCTGCCTGATGTGGATGTTGAGAACTGAACCCATGTCTTCTGGTCTCCTGTAAGAGCAGAAAGTGTCCTTGAGCACCAAGCCATCCATCTCTCCAGCCCCCAACTTGTAGACTTTAGACACCCCATACAGAAAGATGAGTTTTTGCTTAAAATTCTCAAAGGAATTTGAACATTTCTCTTTGTGTTGTGTGTATGTGTGTGTGCGCACGCGCACACGCGTGCGTATACACATATATGGGTTCACACATTGTGTGTACATGGATGGGTGCATGTGTGTGTGCAAGTGCATGAGCACAGTGTGTGACATTTAGGCACTTCTGTGACAGGTAGACATCTCTCTTCTGTCATTTTCTCTTGGAAGGACAAAATTAAAACATTTTTTAAAATTAGATTTTTAAAGTAGAATGCATCCAAAGCACAGCTATGGTCATATTTCAGATCTTTGCCCAGAAGGGTGACACTATCAAGGCTTAGATGAGCTTGCATGGCCTCTTCTTCTATTGGTGGGTTATATATTGAGATTCCATCAACAAAATTTCCAAAGACTGACCAGATCCTGAAAGGGCAGCACATGTCAAGAGCAGGATCAGGAGAAACTTTCTATGTTTTTCTGAGCTTCTATTAGCAAGACCAACAGACAACTATAAAGAGGAAGCCAGAGGTTCAACATAGACAAAAAAGTTCCCCTTCGCCAACCTGAAGAGAACATTAATAAGGACCTAGCACAGTAACAAAGCAAGCTGCCTCAAATAGCATCATGAGACAAACATGACAGGAATCCCAGACATTTCTGCGTACTTCTGTAATCTCAGAGAATAAATGTTCCTCCAAATAAAACGTGCCCACATGCCCATGTCTCTCTGTCCATGTAAAAGCCCAGACGCATTCCAGTCACTCAACTTCTCTGCTCAAGAGGCAATCTTCTGACTCCGGCACAGCCTTCCCTAGAAGCCAAGACACTTAGAACACAGGTCATTCCAGACACAGGTCTGGCTCCCCCAGAGCTCTGAGGTATGTGAGTCCTGTCCGCTACTCAGCCTTTTGTTCTGAGCTATTTCAGCACGTTTTGAAAGGGCCCACTGTGTTTAGTCTGCAAACACTCCACTGGAAATGAGCAGTGCAAGGTCCTATGTGCAAATATTCACGAACATGGTTTTTTGTTTTTTTTTGTTTTTTTAAACAATACACGTTTTACAAATTCAAGTGAAATCCAGGTACAGACTAGGTCAGTTGCTGTCTTATGCACAACAGGAAAGTGGTCAGTCAGTTCCTGAAAGTAGAGGAGTAAGGCACCAGTGACTGAGAAGGCTCATTCCTGGAGACTGGGAAGAAGCCTGAGAGGAACATGCTGAGGCTGAGTCCAAGACAGAGATTCTGCTAGGCTAAAGCCCTTTGTGTAGGCAGCACATGACATCTGGACATACGTAAGGATGGACCCTCACCCACGAGTAGGATAATGCTTTCAAGGAAACTGCAGTTAAAGTAAGTGATAAGGGCTATAGTTGACTTCCATGTTATACAGAACCTTTGCTACTCCTTCTTCCCCTTGGCTTCTGCTTCATGGATCATTAAGGGAACGGCAAGGGCTGGCACATTCTAGATGTTCATGTGTGGTCCAAGCTTCTGCGACAGTAATGCCAGAGCATTATATACTAGGAGCATCAGCCAGTCCAATAGGATGGGAAGGGCCCAGAGAAGAGGATCCAGGTGAAGCAGGTGAGGCTGGAAGTCAGGAGAACAGTGGCATGAGGAGCTAGTCACAGACACCACAGTGGGGAGGGTTACAGGTGTTTCCCGGGGGCATGGAGACTTGGCTTGTGCCCTAAGAAATAAGGCAGTGCCACTCAAAACAAGAGCCCCTTGGTGATCCATGGAGGAGATACATCCACACAGTCCTCATCCAGGCTACAAAGTAGGGATGCGGAAATCCTGGAGATGTCAGCTCAGCTGAGGGAAGCACAGTTCATCTCGGAGTCCTCCTGGCTGCCACTTGCTCCATCTTCTAGTTCCAGTTCATCGGGGCTATCGGGGATGCTGGGCTCACTGGAGCACTGGCGGTGTGGCGGTGGGAAGCTGGGCGGCAGAAGCAGGTGCTTGTCCTCACTGTCAGCCTCCTCCCCTAACCCTGAGTGCATCATGGTGGCCATGGCCAGCAGCTGGATGTCCGAATGGGCATTGGCCACTGTGTGCCGCCGAACACTGCCACACTTCTCCAGGTACGCCTCTCCTTCCTGCTCTGTTAGCGGAGTCAGGACCATCTCATTCAGTGGCCGTCCAACGGAGGTCATCAGGGAGGCATAGTTGAGGACAGTCACCTTGGGCCGGATCCTGGAATGCCTCCTGGCTGCAAGAGGAAAAGGCAACAATGGCTGTGACTGGGGGAAGGTAACACAGTGACCAAAATGAAAGAAGAGGGAGGGAGAGCCTCTGGGAACAGCTTTAGGTGGGGCCTCACTGAATACAATGGAGGACATGACCATCTTCATGTCACGCAGTTTTACCTGTTTACACCAGATCCTGTGTCCAGTCAACCAGAACCCCACAATAAACGCTCACCTAAAACTTTTCTGAATGGAGTGAACACTCACGCCCCCCTTTCCAGGTGCTGCCTGAGCCTCACTGAATTAACCTTTAATTCCACAAAAACCCTCTTCTCTGAAGACTTACACATTAGCCAGGGCTTCAGAACCCTGCTCAGAAGGTGACGTCTGCAGGGTCAGGAGGGCTGGGGTGTCTCTGTCTCAGGAAAATGGTTGCCTTGCAAGTTATGAGGACCTGAGTCTGATCCAAGCAAAAAGGCCAGATGTAGTGCCATGAACTGCCAAGTCCAGAGATGGGGAGGTGGAGACAGACAGATCCTCGGTACTGGTTGGCCAGCCAGTCTAGCCTATCTGGCAAGTTCCAGGCCAGTGAGGAACCCTTTCTCAAAACCCAAAACAAACGAACTCAAACCAAAAACCAACCAACCAAGCAAACAAACAAAAGCCCAAGGGCTGCGGAGATAACTTAGTGGATAAAGCACTTGCTGCAGAAGCGTGAGGACCAGAGTTCAGATGCCCAGAACTCATGTAAATACCAGGTGGGTATGGTGGCTGCACTCAGAAGGCAGAAACAGGAGATCCCTGGAGCAAGCTACCCAGCTGGACTAACCCGTCTGTATCAGTGAGCTCTGGGTCCAACCGAGAGCCCCTGTGGCCATGCATAAAGTGAAGCGTACTCAAGATGACTCCCAGTGTCAACCTGGGGTCTACAACTGTTGCTTTTTCAGCACTGTGTTCCAGAAACAGCGGAAGCTTTTATATGCATGAGGCTTTGTGGTACAAGCCTGTTGTCCCAGCTACTCAGGGAGCTGAGGCATGAGGATCTCAAGTTAAAAGCCTGCCTGGGCTACAGAGCAAGTTCAAGGCCCATCTGAGCAAGTGAGACTCTGTCTCAAAATATAGAGTTTAGACAAGGCTGGTGGTGTAGCTTAATGCTAGAGCATTTACCTAGCATGAATGATGACCTAGGTTCAAATCTCATAGCCACAAAAAAAAAAAAATTTAAAATGTTTAGTATGCATTTTGGACTCCTGCTAGAAAGTGAACCTAAATCATAGCCTATGGAGACATTGTTAGTGTCTACTTTAAAGAGAAGAAAACCGAGTATCAGGGAGGTAGGAATTTACCCAAGGGGACAGAGCCAGAGCACAGTCAAGCTGGGGCTCCGATGAGTTTGGCATCACTCTGGACCCTGCTTTCCCTGGCACCCATACAAAGCCACCAAGAAATGTTACAGGCAAAGCACCTTGAGGGAAGGACAAGCCAGTGGGGTTCACAGGCGGGGGAAAAATGGCTAGGACCATCAGAAACCTGGCCGAGGACGTACACTGGAGACATATAGAGTGGTGGAAGGTCCTGAAGAGGACGGAGAAGGGCAACATTCTGAATGGTGAGAACAGCCTGAGCAAGTCGCTGGATGAGCCCCAGGGTCACAGCCTTGCAGGAACTTGATGTATAGGAACAATGAAGCTGTGCCCATCCTGGTTGGCTAAGTGTGTCCTAGGAGGGCCCTGTGATGACAGATGGAAGTCTCTGTGACACATGGGAGAGGCTATGTGTCACATGAGAAAGGACAGAAGAGGGTGTGCTTCAGGAAAGGGCCCTCGCAGGAGGTGGAGCAGGAGCTACTGCCAGAGAAAAAGCCAGAGAGGGTGCAGAGACACATGGGAAAAGTGAATGCCAGTATCAGAGTACAGAAAAGAGGTGGTTCACAGGAGAGAGACCCACAGAGATGAAGGGGAAGGTGACAATGGGCTCAGGACACCAGTCACTGATACCACAGAACTCATGGGATGGGCTGTGGAAGAGCAGGACTCAGGTGACTTGAGCCAGCACCCTCTGAACTCAGGTAATAAGAAAGGCCACCCTACCCATGGGTGCTCACCAAGAGGCTGGTGTCTTGGAGAAGGAATTAAATACGGAAAGCCAATGGACAATAAAAAAGAATCTGTGCATAGTACTTGTCCCCCCAGAAACAGCCATTCCTAGTGTTCTCAATTTCTGAGAACAGCCATGGGCTGTTTTCATGATCATAAAAATGGACACTTCTTCAACAGAAGCACCAAAGACTTCACAGCAGCAAGGACCCAGCTAAAGAACCATCCTCGAAACACTGCCATTGGGAACAACTCATTTCTCACAGTACTTTTACAACCACGCACTGTGGGCTGGCTGTAGGGAAAACGCACAATCAGCCTGGCGGAAGCTGGGCCCAACAGCTTCAGAGGCCATGTACTAGAAGTCATTCTCTGTTCCTGAGGCAAGGCATCGATCTGCCAAGGTAGGGTGTGTGCAGAAGCCAGAGCCAAGAGAAGACAGGAGCTTTCCCGCTTCAGCTGTGAACACATACACTCCCAGGAGCTGGGTGGTCCTCTAGTTGAGGAAGAAAATACCACACTGCTATGGGGTTGAGTTGTTACATGTGGCTAAAACCTGAGACGAACAGATCCGCCATCCATGAAGAGGACAGAGTTGGAGCAGGGGCTGGGGTTGGAGAGGACACAGGGGAAGCTGAGGGAATGTAGACTCAATGTGCGTCGCTGAGACATACTGCATCTCTGGCTGCAGGAGTTTTCACGGGCGTCAACCTGCTGGAATGAGCCCAGAAAAGGTGTCTCTGAGGGTTTTCTGGACATCGTCCATTTTTCACTGCAGTCAAGTCGTTGAAGGTTTCCACAGGCAGTGAATGAACAAAAGGCCACTTGGCTGCAGCTGAAGAGAGCTGAGAATTGAAGCCAGAGTGAGACTGAGACAGTCTTGGTGTG